CCCAGGAGGCAGAGGTTACAGTAAGCCGAGATTGTGCCACTGCACTCCAGCCTGGGCGACAGAGCAAGACTCCATCTCCAAAAAAAAAAAAAAAAATTCGCCAGGCATGGTGGCATGCGCCTGTAATCCCAGCTACTCAGGAGGCTGAGGCAGGAGAATCACTTGAGCCCAGGAGACAGAGGTTGCAGTGCACCCAGATCGTGCCACCACACTCCAGCCTGGGCAACAGAGCAAGACTCTTGTCTTCGAAAAAAAAAGGTGTTTCTGAATTAGAAGAGTCTTCTTGAATCTGAAAATGTCTATGGTGATTATTCCTATGGGAATGTCACTAAGTATGCAGAAAAGAGTAACATAGCCAGCCTGACTTATCCTTTGAAAGGCCTGATGATAAAGTTCGTCCTTGGCTGTTGCATCTGGGAACTTAGATATCAGGTGTCTTGGTCTGTTCTGCTGTCATAACAGAATTACACAAACTACTTTATAATGAATAGAAGTTTATTTGGTTGATGGGTGTGGAGGCTAGGCAGTCCAAGAACATGGCGCCAGCATGTAGCGAGGGTCTTGCCATGGCAGAAGGCGTCACATGGCAAGTGAGCATGAGAAAGATATATAGGTCTAAACTTAGCCTTTTATCATGAGCCCACTCCGGAGATAGCAGCACTAATTCACTAATGAGAGCAAAGCCTTCCTTACCTAATCACTTGTTAAAGGTCTCATAACACTTTTACAATGTCAATTAAACTTCCAACACTTGAACTTGGGGGACATATTTAAACCTTAACAGGAGGGCTGCACTCACTGAAAAGAGTGGTTCATGGTAACTAACCTGTTTGTACAATGTGGTGTGTGCTGAACACCTGCTTTCTTCCTGGGAGTCTAGAATTTTGGTACATGGTAGGTAGAAGGTACCTACGTGACCAGCCCCCAGTAAAAACCCCGGGCACTGTATCTCTAACAAGCTTCCCTGGTAAACAACATTTCTCACATGTTGTCACAATTCAGTTGCTGGTGGAATGAAACAACACATATGTGTGACTCCACTGTTAGGGGACTCTGGGAACTTATACCTGGTTTCCCCAAGACTTTGCCTCTGTACCTCTTCTCTTTGCTGTTTTGCTTCATATGCTTTTGCTGTAATAAATCATGCCTGTGTGATGATATGCTGAGTCTTGTGAATTCTAGCAAATCATGGAACCTGGAGGTAGTCTTGGAGACCCTGGCACACAAAGCAGTTCCTGAGTGTTCACTGGCAGCTGTAGAAAGAGGCAAAGAAGAAACAGCAAAGAAAAGGGCACATTGTGGTATAACTTTGGAGGTTTACCTTGCAAAATGCTCAGATATTTTACCTATCTGAGGTTATTGTGCATATAATAGAGAGTGATATACTAACAACTGCCTCAGGATATACTCTTTTTAATCAGTATTGTAACTACCCTTGGCTTATTTTACTTTTAGACTTGGGGTTCTGTTTTGCAATAAGACATGTACATCAGTTTTGTTTTTTGTTTTTTTCTTTTCTTTTCGAAGACAGGATCTCACTGTCACCCAGGTTGCTGAGAGTGCTGAGAGTGTGGTATGGCCTGATCTTGGCTCACTGCAGCCTTGACCTTTCAGGCTCAAGTGATCCTCCCACCTCAGCCTCCCAAGTAGTTGGGACTATAGGCACGTGCCACCATGCCTGGCTAATTTTTGTATTTTCTGTAGAGACGGGGTTTTGCCATGTTGTCGAGGCTGGTCTCGAACTACTGGGTTCAAACGATCCTCCCACCTCAGCCTCCCAAAGTGCTGGGAGTACAGGTGTTAGCCACCGTGCCTGGCCTCATTGCACTCCTTAACACAAGAAGACTTCAACAATGATGAGTAAAATAGTTGTTTATAAGGAAGCAGGATCATTACCAAAATAAATCCGGCTAATACAACAGGAATCGTGTTTTAAAGCCTACTTCGCTAATTTTTACTAGTAGGATAGGAGTGGTAATATCTCAAACATTACATAGGCATAGCCTTTAGTTGAATTTCATCAAAAATCTCTTCATACCCCACGTTGGTTTCAAAACATACTATGCTTTTTCTTGATGTTATTTCCTATATTCATTTTTGTGTGTGTGTGTATGTCACAAATATTGATATGCCTGGTTGTTTATTTTTGTTTTCTATTATGCCTTTTTCAAAATATAAAAATAAACCTGTAATTTCTAACTAAAATTTTGTAGTCCTAGTCTGAATTTAAAGTGATAGAAAGGACTGATGTACTCTTTAGCTTATACAGTATAGGCATACAGGCTATCAGAATCAAAAGAGCTGGAGGTAAGTTAAGCCTGAGGTCTACTTTAAAGGGAAAAGCTAATTTAATACTCTTCCAGAGTCAATCAGTGCTGATTAATTTTTCTTTAATTATTCAACTTTTAGATGTGTGGATACTAAAAACAAAAAATCAGCTCTGCATGCCTTTTTTTTTTTTTTTTTTTGAGATTGTCTTGCTCTCACCCAGGCCAGAGTGCAGTGGCACAATCACAGCTCTCAACCTCCTGGGCTCAATGGATCCTCCCACCTCAGCCTCCCAAGTAGCTGGGACTACAACTGCGCCCCACCAGACCCAGCTAATTTTTAAATTTTTTTGTAGAGATGAGGTCTTGTCATGTTGCCCAGGCTGGTCTTGAACTCCTGGGTTCAAGCAATCTTGGCCTCCCAAAGTGCTGGGATTACAGGTGTGAGCCCCTTGCACCTAGCCTGAATGTCTGTGTTTTCTACTTACACTAGAAGAGGTGTGTGATATTTGCAAATTTATTACCAGCATAGTAGTGATACCAGTTTGTGAAGACCATTCTGGAGTAATTGAGATGCTGCCTGGTTTTCCTAGCATTTTTCTTATTTTCTTTCTTTCTCTATGTGACTCTACCAGTCTGACCCCTGATTT